GGGCGGGGGGTGGGGGGAGAGTCGATCAAAATTTTATAAATTTTGTCGTAGCCAAATATCAAAATAATAATCACAAGTGATACACTAAAATACTATTTAATTAATGATAATATTGACAGTTGGATTTTTGTACGTGAAAGAGAGCGAGTGGATCATACGAGATGCAAGAATCATCGGTATCTGCGTCGATCTTATCGCGCACTCCACTCTTGTTCTCGCTCGTTGCTCCTTCACGATTATTTTCTCACAAATGGGATCCGTTTTGCTTTTTTTCCTCCTTTGCATCCGCGGGTTACCGAGGCCCCGTGCGGGAGTGGCCGACACACAAAGGCCATGTAGTTTCTCTATCTATCTATCTCTCTCTCTCTCTCTCTCTCTTCTCGCGGCGCACGGAGCGACCGCGGCAGTTAGATTAGGCGAAACTGCTTAAACTGCTCCCTAGACATCCCTTCATTAGATTCCGTAGAAGGCCGTTAGCCTTCCACGTGCTGCGAGAACCGAAAGCTCGCTCGGTCGTCGTGTGCCGCTCGGTTGCATTCCGAATCTTCGATCGCTCGTCCTTTCGCCGTCACGCTCTTCGCCCTTTCCCACCCTTATCCCACCCCTCTTTCTCCCCTCCTCCCCCCGCCGACTTCGCCATCGTCGTCCCGAAGGATACGTCCGAGGATGTACGAGCAATTTGGACGCGTGCGCTCTATTTGGCCCGAAACCATCGAGAACGAGTCGTTAACCTTCAGATGCAGGCTATCTCTTTCTCTTTGCGCTATTACATCGATGATAACGGAACTGTGGATCTGAATATATAATATATCGTAAACTCTCGTGATTAATAAATTATACCATCGTCATATACGGGTGATAAAAGTTTATTTCGCGCATAATATTATGGCTGGTTGGGGAACACACGCTATACGAAAAATATGCATTGAACAGAGCGGATAGTGAAAATATTCGGGTCGGTATGTTATGCTTCAAGAATATACGAACACAAGCGATCTTAATTGTGGGATAAATATAACTGTCATAAGGGAAATCAAATTAAACTCTCTCATCCCTAGTATAAGAACGCCTGAATAAACCTAATGAAATTAATTTCCGCGTGTCGAGCGAGCAACGACCGTGAATATGCACACGTCAACATACTTCTATACTCGGATAGATTGTGTATTGAGAAATTAATGGGCGCAATGTGACTTTATTTGCAAATCGCGCGATGAAATTTGTCATTGCGTATGACAAATATTATTATGCGCGTGTTATTAACAATGTTTTGACATAATATTATATAACGTTTTAAGAAAAATCTACACTAGAAATAATACAAGATGTACTGTAAAGCAATAATATAGTTTTATGTTACAGTTAATTTCAATCTTTATTTTTTCTTAATAAAAAAATACGTGCGCGTTTCTCGTATAATTTTCCAAAATTTTTTGACGTGTAAAATAGCAAGAAAAAGTTTTTAACTGTATGTATATTTATAAGATACGATTTGGAACATGATAAATATCTCTGACTCTTTCTAGCCGATTTCAAATTTGCATGTGTATTCGACTATTTCGTCTTTTTAGATTATAATACAATCGCTACATTATTAATACGTAATTTCTATTAACAGAAATGAAAATGCACTCTCTCTCTCTTGACGCATTCGCGCATTATTTCGTATTTTTAGTTGCAATGTTATCTTCGTATTTTTGAAACTTTTGAGTCGATGCAATTCACTATAGCTAGAGCCCAGCCGCGGACGCTGAAAACTCCATTATTGTGCTTTTTATACACAATGGATTATGTTTGCTTTCATCGGCGAAGTACAATTTTTCTGTCGAATAATTTGGCGTTATGGAGAGGCGGACGGTATATCGAGGCAATTTGTCCTAAATGAGGTAATTTTCTGTTTCGCGACGGAATATTAATATGACATAAAGCAAATGTCGAGGTGCATTTGCAGTTTCATCGACTATTCTAGCAATTAATATAATTTGATACATAATGCATGCATCCCCGCTTACTTTATGCTACTGTCAAATTTTTCGTCTGTATTTTCAATCTGTATGTTTATTTGCGTTTTGCCTAATTAACATACAATTAAGCTTTTGTATATACACGCATGAAAACTCTTAAATTATTTTACTTTCAACGATATAGTTTACTGAAACCGTTGCGCATAAATAGGTGTATTAAATTTAAAATACAAAGATAATTGTGTACTATTCATTACTTGAGTAACCGTAACAAACGTATAACATTTTTATTAGTATGTTTTTCCATTTTACAAAATTAATATTATTTTAGCAAGAAATAACAAATGAATCAGTAATAAAGTAAAAATTAAAAGGTAAAATAAAACAATAAAATTATCTCTTCTTGGATGCCTTTTATACATCATGCAATTATAATACAATTATTACTAATAATTCGTGCTAATGAAATTTTATCAGAAAAACAAATCAGAGATCAGATGTACATGGAGTTATAGATATTTGAAGCAACATCGCAGTCTCTGCGTAATAAAAAAAAACTTGTCAAAGTGGTGACGTATTAAGTAGCCAGAACTGGCTCGGTTATGGTCTGTAATCTGTAAGTTACATCGGCGTCAAAATCCTTTCCCGGCGAAAGTTCCGAGGGCTCGTACGGCACTTAGTAGAGAGATCGAGATTCCCTTCGGCATCGGTTGCTACACCGATTCGTGGCTATCGACTCGCGGACGCGAAGCGAGACGGAGCGCGTCCATGTTTCGCCGTAACTACGAATCGATTCTCGTTTTTCCCGGCTTCTCGACCGGAACGGAATCGACTCGCCGTCGTGCCGTGAACGCCCCATTGCATCCAGCTAAGAAGGAACCGCAAAGAGTACGACATCTCGCCGTCCTCCGAACATCCGTCCGGAAAGATCGGCAGTGGCTATCGACTCGCGGACGCGAAGCGAGACGGAGCGCGTCCATGTTTCGCCGTAACTACGAATCGATTCTCGTTTTTCCCGGCTTCTCGACCGGAACGGAATCGACTCGCCGTCGTGCCGTGAACGCCCCATTGCATCCAGCTAAGAAAAAGAGTAAAAGAGTACGACATCTCGCCGTCCTCCGAACATCCGTCCGGAAAGATCGGCAGTGGCGTAACTAGGGGTGTGTGTGTGTGTGTGTGTGTGTGTGTGTGTGTGCTTGATCGAGCGTTAAAAAAAAAAGCACCCTCTTTTTCTCTCTTTTTTTTAATACATTATATAGTATATTCTTTTCTTTTCGTAGAATGTTCAAATTTGTTAGTACGATTAAAATTACCGTTCAAGAAAAATAATTGACGCCATATTATACATAAATACTGCGTTAGATTTTGACAGTTCAGCATTTTCCCAAATCTTGCACTCAAGGCGAGATCTTTTCTTCCTTCCTCATCTAATACTTACGCTATTGATCGTCGAATCTGCCGCACTTTGATGATGCGGGAAAAAGTTCACGCTCGCTTTTGCCTACGGTAGTTAGCTACTTTCTGTGGCCGATGAGCAATCTTGCGGTCACGCATCGTTACGACATTTTTTTCTAACTGCGGGACAATCGTGTTCTTGCGGTGCACGTAATAAGCATGGCGAAACTTGTCGCGGACAGCCATTGAACGAGCACGTGCTTGATGCACGTACATGATTACGTGTGATTCTGCAAAGTTTCTTTGTTTATATATATTTTTTTACACGTGTAAAATATTTTTATCGGAGATACTTCGTGTGTCTAATCTTCTTTCACACAGAATGTCGCGGATTTTGAGATATTTTTTTCATCATCAATCTCATCGTTTTACGACGCGGTTGAAATTCCTTCTTTAAAAATAGATGTTCGAAGGACACTTTGGTTAAGTGATCCCATAAAGAGGTTTATGTCCCAATATTTCATCGGAGATGCTGAAAACGGCCTGACAGGTAAAATGCGCAACGGCATTTCGATCGAACGGAATCCCCTTTGCGAGGCCGGGAGCATTTTATTCGAGAATAGAATAAAATGCCGTCTAGGCAAGTCAATAATTTTGAAGAGAGAATTTGGGTATATTTGCGATGTCGCAATGAAATGTTATAAATTTATTATCAATTATAAGTTTCTTATCGATCGTGATAATAATAACACGACGACCTAATTATCATTTAATATATACGAAAGAAATCCAAACGCTTGCGTTTATCAATTAATTGAATAAGAAGAGAGAGAGAGAGGGAGAGAGGGAGAGAGGGAGAAAGAGAGTTTGTGTTTATATATGTACATTCTGTTCGATCTCGAAATGCTGTTGCACATTTTATATATAAATAATATATATAAAATATATATAAAATACAAATTTCTTATTTAATTAATTGATAAACACAAGCGTATGGATTTCTCTCGTATATATAGGATGAGTGTTAAGTATGTTTTAAAACTTCGTGAGCATGTTTCTGGATAAAAAGTATGAACAAATATTTCTATGAACATTAGCCGAAAATGCTTCGTTATCGAAATAAAGGACACAAATAGATTTTATAATGACTGAGTTTCAGATCACATTCTTTCTTTCCACGATGTTGTGTTTCTAATGTTTTGATTCTGGAATAGTGTTTGTTTACCATCACACGCTACTACGACTCACTGAAAGGGGAAGGGGGTTAATGTAAGCTTCTGTACTTGAATATAGTAAGAGACAACGTATCTACAATCAAGTCAGTATGCTTGAGGTAGTTCAACCGAGCAGTGTTAGTATTGACAGTTAACGCTCACTTTGAAACATACTTATGACTCATCCTGTATGTGCGATATAAATATCACGAAATTATACAGCTTTAATTGTTACGCGGCGTACATTAATGAAGCGGATTCAGTGTATCCAACAAAATATACGCAATCGCATACGTTACTTCCTTACTTGTTAGCTTCTCCTCGCTTCATTAACTCGTGTCCGCTTAATCCCGCGGAATTTAACGAACTTATTTGCCTATTCATACAATGTGCGGTTCTTCCCGGCAGCGTGCTGGTTACACCGGGCGCGTATTTCTCGCGACGAGAAACTCATCGGGCTGGGCATTAAGGAAGTCTCTTCGCTTTATAAAGGCGGATCGGGCGTGCCCGCGCTTTCTTTGCATAGCCACTTCTCATGAAGATTCACTGTAGCGAGGAGTCGCGCTTGTGCAACGGCAGAAGATTACGCGTAGGGGACATCCGCCGAAGACGTTGACTCCTGTCACACATCCATATGGCCAGGGGCGATCGTGGAACCGGTTTGTCGACGCGCGTGTTCCACGTATATACGTTCGGTAAACCTTGGACGAGAGGCTTTGTACCGGTTTACGGACGAAAATCTCTCGAGTTTCCTCATTCATGCCGTTCATGCAGGTGACATTTATTAAAAATTTCACTATGCTAAGCTATGTCCCCAATGGAATTCGTCCAACGATAATTGGACGTCGCCCGAGAGAGACCTCTCTCCTAAAGCCGATTTAGGAGACTTTACAAGTCGAAATAAGTCTTTCGTAATATGCGTTAAGCTCGATCGAATAACAGCCGGAGAATAGGGAAAAACCCAAGATTTTAAAAAAGGATTATCGACTAAAATTTCTTGAATTTTAGAACTTTATAATGTAGGATAGGTTGAGAAAAAAAAATGTAACGCAAGATTGGAAATATATTTTCGACTTTTCGCTATTGCCTGGAATATGTTTTATCAATATACATATAACGATTGTCGAAACATTTTGTGAATATTTAAAAGTAGTCAAAGAGATCGAATACGAATACAGATGTGAAAAAGTTTTAACATTTCAAAAACTTGCTGTTCCTCTTAGCGCACAGTTTACATGTGGAAAACAGAAAGAGAATTCTATTTTTAAAGATTATATCATAAAAAATACGAAAATAGTACGAATGTATAAGAGAATAAATAATATATAATGATACAGTAATTATAACAGAAAAGTTGATTTATTCCTACACAGGTATTGCAATAATGAATTTATTTAAAAATAGTATACTATTATAACAAATTCGTGTTTCTACAATATACAGAATATGTTTTGAGACGTTAAAACTGTTGAAGCGGACAAGTGTAGCATATGAGTGACACATAAAAATATTTATTAACGAGAACTACAAAAACAATCAGTTCGCGCATAGGAAATTTACATTATTTGCATCAACCTTTATAATTCACATTTTATCTCATCCGAATATTTTTAAATGTCATTTACAATGCATTTGATTCGCTCTATAAGATCAGAAGATTGTAATTTTGAAAATCTGATAATTTATTTATGTCAGCAGCAGTTTTATTTTTTCGTTATTATAAGCGGTTTTAACATTTTAATTTAATATAAGCTATAAATGTGTACGAATGAAAAGTAGGTATGGATGCATGCATGTGTGTATGTATATGTGTGTGCTTGCAGGATATTATTTTGACATTATTAATTATAGAAAATTTAACAACAGATGAAACAATTATTGAAATTTTATGAAACTTTACAAATTGTCCAAAAAATGATCATCTTTATTTTTTATTTATATTTAAGACAAAGAAGAACGTCTTTAAGAGAATGTATGAAAGACATCGTGGAAAGAGAGATCAGATTTAATAATATAATTAGAACATCGTTACCGAGACTGACCGTAACTCGGCATGCAATCGCGAAGCTTTCGGCGGAAATACATTACGCGAGCAAGGTGGTTATTGTTCGGCATCACCGTATACCTCTTTCGCCGGCAAGGCTGCTGCTGCTGCTGCTGCACTTAGAAATCGCTCGCGGTACTTGGGCGCTAGGTGCAATTTACACCCTAGAAACGTATCCCGGTACAGCCATGGTTTAGATTTATCCTTTTCCCGCGCCAGTCGTCGAAATAAAATAAGCGAACCAGGGACTCGTCTGGCAGCATTTGCTTCTCTTCTTCTCTTTCTCTCTCGATACGAAATGTAGCACGCTAAATCACAACGACTATCGCCGTCGAGGGAAATATAGCGGAACCGCGATGCTTCTCTCGGTGTTAATGGCACAAACGCCGCGTATCGAGGATGGACGAAGGCGCGAGATTTACGAACGAAACGCATCCGCGACAGCGGCCGAGAACGGCGGAGACTATGGGTAGTAGATTCTGGTATCCTGCGGGTCCTGGATATCCGGTCCGAGAAGCCGTTTCGACTGGCAGGCCGGAAGGAAGGAAGGAAGTCTCTCGGTCGCACAAGGGACCTCGCGCGCAACTCTACGCGCTACCAAATAATATGCAAATTCAATACTCTTACCGTGAGATCGGTTCAAAGCATCTCAAAGACGATAGTGGCTGGATGGTTTACGGTCCCGCAAATTCGCGCAGGTGGCTTGCCGCATGAAATATTACCTCCCGTGTACCTGACAATTAAGGAAACATTCCGACTCCGTGCGCCTCAAACAAATTGCGAGATGATTGCGACGCGGAAAGACGAGTCATCTCTGTTGTACGTACGTACATTTTTGCTCGCGACGCGTGTTTCCTCGCTTGAAATTTCAGACGTGTATATAAGAAAAGAAAATTAGCTTTATTAGTATGCAAAAAAATTTTGCATACGCAAAAGCATTCAAGTTTCTTTTTTAAATACAATTTTCTCAAGTAATCTAGATTTCCATGATTGTTTTATGGAACATCTAATATGAGGAATGTCTCACGTGCTTTTCTAACTTAAATTAAAAATTAAACTATTATTAAGATTTAACGTTAAAGAAATCTAACAAATAATGATATTCGATTGTGAAATTTAACTTAAAAAGAAGAATAAATGGTTACACATTAAAAAGTGAATAGTTTTGAAAATCTTGCTGGTATTAAACAATCTGCATATAAGCTATGTGCTTCTCGAGTTAGATATTTATATGTAATAGCGAGTGTTAAAAAGAGAATGAAAGATGCTAGCGGCGATTAAGTGTCGCGTTATTTAATCGAATTTTATTAACGCGGATATGTCACGCACTGCGCGTGGACGACGCACATCGATGCGCATAATTTAATGCTCGAATAATGCCGACGTGTCGCGGAAAAAATTTTCAATTTCCAACGAGCGTTGCCGCCGCGTCGCGGTGGCACACATAATTGATACCGGGGTCTCCGTAATTCAAACTATTTTGCCGTAAATTACGCGTGTTTGAGGGATATTCGTAATAACAATAATTACAATAATCTGATGGAGACTGGCACCGGGTATCGGCACAGAAGCAAATGCAATTAGCGCACGCTACATTGGACACCGGGGGTACCTGAAATTGATGAGCTAGTTAGATAGGTTCTCGGCACGCTGGATTTAGGTATAGAACCGATTAGGGTACATATATAAGGCAATGCCGTGTGTCGCTGACCGAAAATCTGCCATCGCGAGATTGAATATTTCAACGAGCAGAATTGCGAGTCAATCCGTAATTACAGATATAACGGAGGATATTACCTTCAAGACAGAAGGATAGAGAGGATAGAGAGAAACGTAATGATTGACGATTCGTTGATTATTTTACTTAATTATTTCAGTCTTTGACGATACGTCTAAATATTTACGATCTTGTTTGCGTCCAATCGACATTTGACACGTTGCTGATCTCATCAATTATTTTTACCATCGAGTTACTTTTACTCTATCTACTCAAAAGTTAACGATTTCTCGAATAGAGAGAGAGAGAGAGAGAGAGAGAGAGAGCAACGGAAGTTTCTATAAGGGATGTCAATTTACTCTTCCATCTCCATAAATTTTTATTATCTCGGGCCGCCCGCGATTACACACTGCCGTCACTATGTAAAAGAAAGATGAACCTGAAGAACTGACAAGAGGAGAGAATCGGCGAGAGGCGCGCAATCGTCGAAAACTTTATCATGATTCTCGACAAAGGTACCAGCCGTAAAGACAGAGAGATCAAAGAGCGATCCAGCATTACGTTCTTTTACATATACTCGGTGACGATAGCGCGCGCGCTCGCTATCATCTGCAATGCGCCTTATTCGTGTATATGCGCGAAATACTCGTTCCATTAACGTTATAGTACGGCAGTATGCAAAGAGAGTCGCGCGAAACACATGACAATGCGCGATGTTCTCTTTCTTGTGCGATGAAAAATATTTTGACACAGCGTCGAACATGAGGAAGCGTTATTCGACGCGCTCTATTTTTGTCAAAACTTTTGCGCCGCCAGAATACGCGCCTCCATTAAGGCCAGAAATAATTGGGTAAAACACATTAACTTATTGCGTTGCATTCTTTACTCTGTATTAAAATTATTTTCGAATAATACCGCGAAATATTCTCTATCGGAATATGAATGGGGAGTTTGAATTCACTTGAGATTATATGAAACACGATGTTATCGCGAGAAAGAGAGACAGAGAGGAGGAGGGAGAGAGACAGAGATCGTATTATGATATATATTTACAACGATATATGGCATTATAATTGTCGTTCCTGCGGATTTATTTTTCAACTTAGCACTCTCTTTTTTACATCTTTTTATTGTATTCGCGTCGTTTCTCTATCAACCTCTCTCACGATGTATCACGTTGGCGTAGCGCTTTGTCAAGCTGTCAGCCAGGTATTGCTTTCTATGAGGAGCCACCGTCTCGCCAATACTCCAATTCAATATCGTTACATTCCCGACAACTCGACAATCTCTGTCCTACGTTTTTCGATTATTCGGCACATCCGGCGAAATAGAAATGTACGTTTATCTGTTTCATTCGAATTTTCGAGTACGATACGATACGAAAGATCGCCAATACGGCGATTTGCCGATGTTTAGTATTGGAGACGGATTCCGTCATTGATTACATTTACATTCTGATTACAGATATGTGTAATGAGAGAGATTATATCTCGCTCTTTGCATGTTTTAGAAATGGGTTATTCATCGTAAGTCAGGAACGACTCGGTTTATTAGATGTTTCCTCTTGGCGCGGTTTTCTCTAGTCTCTTTTCTAGTCCCTCCGTAACGTGTCTCACGAAGGTCTTCGAGAAGAGAACTCATGGTTTTTACATATACGTATATATAGTCTGAGACGCGTTGTACACGGAACGAATCCACTTACCGACGCGGCATACTCTTCCCATTTCCTTCCGCCCGATGGAGATGTTTCCAACAAGATTCGATGCTTCTTCGAAGGGATTTTTTTGTCATTTATGATATATACATGTTACATATATGCGACTGAACACGAATCAGGCATAAATATGTATTCGTATATAAGTCACTTTTCGATCGAAATATCTAAAAGTACTGAAGCTCGTTCAAAGGTGGAAGAAGATATGGTGGAGGGGAAAAAAAAAAAGAACTAATTCGTAAAAGTCACGCAGATTCTTTGGCACTTTGGACATTTTCGAAAGCGTTGCGCTTTAATCCTTCAAGAGAGTTAAATCCGGAATTTTAAGAATTCTGCCTCACTACTCCCCTCCCTCTTCTCTCCTCCACCGCGAACCGTCGTAAGTCTCTTTTCTATCTCCCGTCGCACCCCCTCGAGCGAGTTCCTTGTCCCCAACTACGACGTTGCGGCGTCCAAGCGCATCCTGGACAGGAAATTAAAAAGGACCAACCGCGGATGCTGCTTGCAATCTCACGAAATTCCGAGACGAGAGCGATGATGCGAGACTCGTACTTTGCGGTACGCGAGCTCCAGTGCACTGCAGCTGCATCTTAGACGAACAGCGACCTCCTATCGATATTCGGATATGTTGAATGAGACTTTATTGCAGAGAAAGAGCTTTTTTGCTTTCCTTTATATCGCGCCCACGTGTTAGTAATCTCGTTTTCCTTTTTTCGCGATACATTCAAGAAAAACGATTGATTGTTTAACATTACATTCTATGATTTTGTCCGTATAATGTTTATTATTTTTGTTATAATTTATTTGTATTATTAAAAATAATGAAACACAAGCAGCAATCTCTTGTAGCGCAACAATATTTAAATTTGTATATAATATAGAACTATCAATTTACATATCTCTGCATTCAGGTGCATTCATCTTTCTATTCCGTATTTCTATATTGGGTTCTTTTTTTACCATCGTGTTTCCTCGCAGGCATTATAAAAGTAGATACATGCAAACGCTCGTGTTACGTTGGTAATAAACGACGCATCTAAAGTTTTTAAAACGAGGATGAAATTATAATAAATTATAGTAAATAATGCTGAATTCGACCATGCGGAAGATCCGTCATTAATGAACATAGGATATTAATTAAGGACGTTGAATGTTAATCGTAAAAGCTTTCCTTATCATTCTTGCGTTTTATTCCTAAGAGAAATGAGACATGTAACACACATTAACATTAACACTGTTTTTCTAATTTTTCAGATCTGTGCAGCATTCGCATCAAATCCACATAACCGTGTATGGCGACAATAAAGAAATCACGTAAGGGTGAGTCTTTCTATGATATATAATATTTTATATCGTAGGGAGAGATATATATATCCGTTTTATAGCTCTTACATTATGTATATAATATTAGCTCCGAGATATTTTTTTATTGTTCATTCCTAATTATTTCTGATCATTCAATAGACATAATCTCTTTCTCTACACTCAAAAAAGTGGTTTTGCAACTACAGCAAAAATTTTCTGGGTGCGCAAAATTAACTGAGGTACATAAATGATTAGCAAATACTGTGATATAAGTCGACGCGCGGACGCAACAATATATAACTTTGTTATTATTTTGAGAATTTATTAGAAATTATAAAAAATATAGAAAAATCACTCGCATCTCTTCTTGTTTAAGCCTGCATGTTTATCATTCTCGATAATCTCGTACGAATTTCGAATGCAGACGCGTTAAACGCACGATTTTGCGAATCGTCAAACACGTACTTGCGTTCTTTTTTCGTCGTACGCGATGCTCAGGCATACTGCAAATGTTCTCTTCTCTTCCCCTTTTACAGCCACCGATCGTTGCATCTGCCGCGCAGATATCGTCGAGTTGGGGCGGTATCCCGGCTGTTATTTCCAAGTCTTTTTGCGTAGGCGCTTTGCGTGGTACCTACCTACCATTATCCCGATGTCTTTGTCCGACCGGTTTCGCGACAGCTCTCCGTCCTCGTTCCCCCGGCATCTCGTGCAAAAACGTTATGCTTGCACGTGTCCCTCTTACGATCATCACCGGGTTCGCCTGCCGAAATCGGCAAACGATCGAGCCACTGTCTGTATAAAATAACTATAAATATTGCGTTAATTCTCTCAATATACTGTATTTAGTTGACGCGATTTATTCAATATAACTATTCTTGTCATTGTAAAATTAGTCGGAAAAAATATTTATTTAACAATCGATCGATTTTCTTTCGTCGAGACATTTATATATTATGTGAGTGGTTATATAATTAGAATAGAGTATAACTGTTCCAGGTTTCGAAGCTTAGGTATAATAATAGACAGGAAAGTAATAATAATAGCCGAAAGGATAATCTTAACAACCGGATATAAAATATCGATATTGATATCTATATAAAATATTTATTCATTATTAATACAGTCTTCAGGACATAATTATTCTCTCCATTCGAATTGACTTATTATCACTTGCATTTCGATCGCAAGGAAACATGTCGATCGAGGACACATATACGGACGTAACGATCGAGCTCTGCATTACACAGGGGTATCGAGAAGAACATAAACGCAGGGGTGACAGTGATGAGGGGTGGATGGGGAGAGGGGGGAGGGTGCGTTAGGGATCGAGGGCGCGAGCAAACGGAATGCCATAAATCTCATGTAAATTCGGTCCGCTTGATTTGCAAGCACAATGCCGGACGATTCTACTATCCGCCTCGGGTAACGCGCGGATACGCCGTCTATGTGCTCCTCTCTGGACATCTATGCACTCTCCGATCGAGTTTCGCGACGACAACGTCGTCGCCGGCCATACTGGATATCCCGAAATATGCGCTTTCCATGCTTCGAGTTATGAATAATTAAACGTGTAAGAATTCTACGGGGGCGTAGTAAAATGAGTAGCAAATTTTTATCGAGCGATTATTCTGTATACGAAATAATTTTACGCATGTAGAAGTATTTTTACATATATGGAAGAAATATCGGGATAATGAATATACGGCAACTTAATACGATGAATAGCGAAAACTGATTCTACCGTTATTGGTAAACTTGATAAGTAGGTTAGAGATTAAAAAAAAATATTTTCTCGAAAAAGATTCGACAGCTATGACAATATTGAAATAAAGAGAGAGCATTTATATAAGTTTGTCGAGATTTATTTAATGAAAATATGCACGACGTGATTTAATACATACATAATGTGACTGATATAAGAAGATTAATGGGAATATTTTATATAAAGAGCGAGCAAGACATAATAGATTTCCATTAAAATTTTGACCAATTAGACCACATTTTTACAGAAATGTGTATAATACTTTTATATGATTTTATTAATATTTACGTATACATAAAACGTAATCTTTACATAAAAAGTCAACCATTCACGTATAAATAGCATTTAATCGAGAAATGTCATTTCGTGTATGATACAGATTCGTGTATGATACATGTCAATATTTGAGAATCTTATTCTCCACAAATTATGTAAGATATTTAAAAATATATATGAATGGATATAAGTGAATTCCCGATTCATATCCGTGTCTATAATGCTTCGATTTTATTCTTATTGTTAGCGTCGCGACGGTGCATCAATCGATCTCAGCATCCGTTGTGGGCGGGAAGCTGACGGTTTCGGACGTAATTATCGCGGCGAATCGCGCGGACGCGAGCGGCGGAACCAGCTGATGTGGCCGTGGCGGAATAGCGGCGCGTTAACGTGGAAACGACTCGTGCCAGACGGCACGTGAAGCGGCAGCGAAGCGTCGGGACGGAACCCGCCGCAGTATTTCACGTCGCGCTCAGGACGACCCGCGGCGTGGCGGGCATTATATTAACGATCGTCGACACGTGGGAGAGAAACGCCGACGCGTTAAGAAACCCAGATACACACTCGCCGCCGCCGCCGAGCTCTAAGGCCTCCCTCCGGTCGAGTCCAAACCCTTAAAATATCGTTGACCGGGAAAATTGTCGACGACGTCGCCGTCGCTTCCGTCCTCGCCGTCCTGGCACGCGAGGCGAGGTCGACGACGAGCCATCGGGGGACGCCTCGCTTGCCTCGTCTCTACCGTTTATCGTGTCCCTGGGCGTCGTCGTCGTCTCTCGGCATCGGTCACGGAGAGGGACGCCGGCGTCCTCTCGGGAGGACGATCCTCACCGGTTTTCCTCCGGTGTCGTCGCGCCCACTCGTTCTTCCGGTCGGTCACGTTCGCGACGAACACAATTCCGAGTGAGCTTTGCTCGTCCTCGTGTACCCCACCGGAATTCATAGAGCGAAACTTGGAGTCTTCTCAGTGATAGGAATATACCACCGAGCGTCGCGGGACAATCCGCATTCTCGTCATCTAAAGTAGCTTTGTAACTCGAGTGCGTCGTGGAAGGAATCATTTCTCTCTGATTAGCTGAGGTTATTACGGCTGGGACTGGTCGAGAGTTAATTCGGAATGGCTCTTGCTTTCACGGAAACTTGCTCCGGATTTCGTAATGCGAATGTTTAGTAATGAAACTTTGAACGTTGCGATGAGAGAGAAGGCAATAATAAACTTTTCGGTATAAAAGAATCGATTCGCTTGAATAAAAATATCCGTGGCTGAAGGAAAAAAGTCGCAAATCTTTCTCCGAGGCACATTTTATTCGATAGACGGGTGCTTGAATCCAAGGCAACCAAGTTTGTCAAAGCAGAAAAAGTTTCAAGTATCATTAAATAGTAAACAGTACTTTTCGGTCTATTGGAGGATAACCATTCATTTTTAGAAAGCCGAGCTTGATCGGTTAGATGCTTTCAGTTGAACGAGTCGACGAGAAACACTGAATTCAATTCAGAAAGTCGAAAGAAAGAAAAAAATATCACGATTTCCGTTATTCAGTGCACAGAGAGTGGTAGCTCGACAGAGTAATTAAGTTATTCGGCGATGTCCCGTGGCTTTATTCGCACGACGGCGTGCTGCTATATATAGAAAACCGCGCGCAGACAAGAAAACGTCGTGATAAATTCACGAGTCGTCTAGTTACGAACGCCTAGATACGAACGCGGGCACACAAGCACCTGCAAAACGGCACCTGCGACACGTGTGCGCGCGCGATGAGTAGGTCGCGCGATCGATGAAATCGTTGGAAAAGAGCGTATGTACGTCCTTCAGCTTGCGAAAGAGAGACAAAGAGAGATGCTGAAAGAAAGAGAGAGAGAGGGTGGAAAAAAAAAAGAGTATTAGCTTGTATCCGCGCGAAGATACTCCACGTCGCGTCATGGCACTTTGGCCATCGAAGTCGACTGAAAATCGATAACGCGCGGATATCGAGCGTCCGCCATGCAACTATGTAACAAGTTAATGAACTAACGTCGATACGGCCTGCGGCGAGCGTTGAATTACCCTTTTCGTGAGCGAGGACGTCGATATTATTGAAGAGAAGCGAATTTATCTCTTCTGACGCGCAACTTTTCTCGCGATCGTTCGTGCCTTGGAAAATTCGCGGGATTGAACAAACAGCTTGTTACTTCTTTCTCTCTCTCTCTCTCTCTCTCCCTTGCGACTTGTAATCTTCAGGTGCTTTTGCCTCAGCGACTATGAGCGCGATGGAATGTTTTTCTTTCCAATATAACAGTAAACCACCGTAGAATGGATCGCGGATAGCTTGATCAACCGAGTAATCACGTAATCTCCGAGAGGCTATCTTTCCTTCATATATTTTCTCTTTTTTCCTTCTTTTTCAAAAAAGTATAAGGCAACATTTCTCTTAAAAATAATCCAAATACAATGTAGCGCGCATTCCGTTCCTATTTTGTCTCTGTGGGCAAGCAATATCGGCATTTCTTTCTCGAGACTTGACCTCCGGAACGTAACGCGAAGAGGACGATTATGTCGCGGAAAATAAACCGGGGCGCGGCTCTTGCGGAGGAGCTCACGCCGCTGGAGGTATGCGCGGAATAATCACCTCCGCCTTTATCCCTTATTCTCGGTTTGTCCTTAAGAGCGAAAGACATCGCGGCGAAGATCCGAACAGTATTCTCTTCGTGGCGGGATTGCACGGTGATTCGGCAAAATAGAAAGCGACGGCGTTACACGCTCGATTACGACACGATTTTCGCCCGCTGTTGGAATAGATGACCGTGGGAGATGACGGGATTTGTTCTCACTTCGCGTTGCGCCAAGAATTGTTCAAAGGAATCTCTCGTTGGAATGTTTCCGCAAGGACATTATCGCGTATATTAGCTCGTTTTCAAGAGTAAATTTAGCGAAGAGTGAATGACAGCATCATTCATCGGCTCATTGTCTATCGTCGGTATAGCATGCTTATTGGCTATA